TGGGAGGGTGTGGAGGACAGTTGGCAGGGGGGGAGGACAGTTGGGAGGGTGGGGAGGACAGTTGGGAGGGTGTGGAGGACAGTTGGGAGGGTGGGGAGGACAATTGGGAGGGTGGGGAGGACAGTTGGGAGGGTGGGGAGGACAGTTGGGAGGGTGGGGAGGACAGTTGGGAGGGTGTGGAGGACAGTTGGGAGGGTGTGGAGGACAGTAGGAAGGGTGGGGAGGACAGTTGGGAGGGTGGGGAGGACAGTTGGGAGGGTGTGGAGGACAGTTGGGAGGGTGGGGAGGACAGTTGGGAGGGTGGGGAGGACAGTTGGGAGGGTGGGGAGGAGGACAGTTGGGAGGGTGTGGAGGACAGTTGGGAGGGTGGGGAGGACAGTTGGGAGGGTGTGGAGGACAGTCGGGAGGGTGGGGAGGACAGTCGGGAGGGTGAGGAGGACAGTTGGGAGGGTGGGGAGGACAGTCGGGAGGATGGGGAGGACAGTTGGGAGGGTGTGGAGGACAGTTGGGAGGGTGTTGAGGACAGTTCGGAGGGTGTGGAGGACAGTTGGGAGGGTGGGGAGGACAGTTGGGAGGGTGTGGAGGACAGTTGGGAGGGTGTGGAGGACAGTTGGGAGGGTGGGGAGGACAGTTGGGAGAGTGGGGAGGACAGTTGGGAGGGTGTGGAGGACAGTTGTGAGGGTGGGGAGGACAGTTGGGAGGGTAGGGAGGACAGTTGGGAGGGTGGGGAGGACAGTTGGGAGGGTGGGGAGGACAGTTGGGAGGGTGGGGAGGACAGTAGGAAGGGTGGGGAGGACAGTTGGGAGGGTGGGGAGGACAGTAGGAAGGGTGGGGAGGACAGTTGGGAGGAAGTGGAGGACAGTTGGGAGGAGGACAGTTGGGAGGGTGGGGAGGACAGTTGGGAGGGTGGGGAGGGAGTGGAGGACAGTTGGGAGGGTGGGGAGGACAGTTGGGAGGGTTGTGGAGGACAGTTGGGAGGGTGTGGAGGACAGTAGGAAGGGTGGGGAGGACAGTTGGGAGGGTGGGGAGGACAGTTGGGAGGGTGGAGAGGACAGTTGGGAGGGTGGGGAGGACAGTTGGGAGGGTGGGGAGGACAGTTGGGAGGGTGTGGAGGACAGTTGGGAGGGTGGGGAGGACAGTTGGGAGGGTGGGGAGGACAGTTGGGAGGGTGGGGAGGACAGTTGGGAGGGTGAGGGAGGACAGTTGGGAGGGTGGGGGTGGGGAGGACAGTTGGGAGGGTGTGGAGGACAGTTGGGAGGGTGGGGAGGACAGTTGGGAGGGAGTGGAGGACAGTTGGGAGGGTGGGGAGGACAGTTGGGAGGGTGGGGAGGACAGTTGGGAGGGTGGGGAGGACAGTTGGGAGGGTGTGGAGGACAGTAGGAAGGGTGGGGAGGACAGTTGGGAGGGTGGGGAGGACAGTTGGGAGGGTGAGGAGGACAGTTGGGAGGATGGGGAGGACAGTTGGGAGGGTGGGGAGGACAGTTGGGAGGGTGGGGAGGACAGTTGGGAGGGTGGGGAGGACAGTTGGGAGGGTGAGGAGGACAGTTGGGAGGGTGGGGAGGACAGTTGGGAGGGTGTGGAGGACAGTTGGGAGGGTGGGGAGGACAGTTGGGAGGGTGGGGAGGACAGTTGGGAGGGTGGGAGGAGGACAGTTGGGAGGGTGGGGAGGACAGTTGGGAGGGTGGGGAGGACAGTTGGGAGGGTGGGGAGGACAGTTGGGAGGGTGGGGAGGACAGTTGGGAGGGTGGGGGAGGACAGTTGGGAGGGTGGGAGGACAGTTGGGAGGGTGGGGAGGACAGTTGGGAGGACAGTGGGGAGGACAGTTGGGAGGGTGGGGAGGACAGTTGGGAGGGTGGGGAGGACAGTTGGGAGGGTGTGGAGGACAGTTGGGAGGGTGGGGAGGACAGTTGGGAGGGTGGGGAGGACAGTGGGAGGGTGGGGAGGACAGTTGGGAGGGTGGGGAGGACAGTTGGGAGGGTGGGGAGGACAGTTGGGAGGGTGTGGAGGACAGTTGGGAGGGTGGGGAGGACAGTTGGGAGGGTTGGGGAGGACAGTTGGGAGGGTGGAGGACAGTTGGGAGGGTGTGGAGGACAGTTGGGAGGGTGGGGAGGACAGTTGGGAGGGTGGGGAGGACAGTTGGGAGGGTGGGGAGGACAGTTGGGAGGGTGGGGAGGACAGTTGGGAGGGTGGGGAGGACAGTTGGGAGGGTGGGGAGGACAGTTGGGAGGGTGGGGAGGACAGTTGGGAGGGTGGGGAGGACAGTTGGGAGGGTGGGGAGGACAGTTGGGAGGGTGGGGAGGACAGTTGGGAGGGTGGGGAGGACAGTTGGGAGGGTGGGGAGGACAGTTGGGAGGGTGGGGAGGACAGTTGGGAGGGTGGGGAGGACAGTTGGGAGGGTGGGGAGGACAGTTGGGAGGGTGGGGAGGACAGTTGGGAGGGTGGGGAGGACAGTTGGGAGGGTGGGGAGGACAGTTGGGAGGGTGGGGAGGACAGTTGGGAGGGTGGGGAGGACAGTTGGGAGGGTGTGGAGGACAGTTGGGGAGGACAGTTGGGAGGGTGGGGAGGACAGTTGGGAGGGTGTGGAGGACAGTTGGGAGGGTGGGGAGGACAGGGGAGGGTGGGGAGGACAGTTGGGAGGGTGGGGAGGACAGTTGGGAGGGTGTGGAGGACAGTTGGGAGGGTGGGGAGGACAGTTGGGAGGGTGTGGAGGAGGACAGTTGGGAGGGTGGGGAGGACAGTTGGGAGGGTGTGGGACAGTTGGGAGGGTGTGGAGGACAGTTGGGAGGGTGGGGAGGACAGTTGGGAGGGTGGGGAGGACAGTTGGGAGGGTGTGGAGGACAGTTGGGAGGGTGTGGAGGACAGTTGGGAGGGTGGGGAGGACAGTTGGGAGGGTGTGGAGGACAGTTGGGAGGGTGTGGGAGGACAGTTGGGAGGGTGTGGAGGACAGTTGGGAGGGTGGGGAGGACAGTTGGGAGGGTGTGGAGGACAGTTGGGAGGGTGTGGAGGACAGTTGGGAGGGTGGGGGAGGACAGTTGGGAGGGTGGGGAGGACAGTTGGGAGGGTGTGGAGGACAGTTGGGAGGGTGTGGAGGACAGTTGGGAGGGTGGGGAGGACAGATGGGAGGGTGGGGAGGACAGTTGGGAGGGTGGGGAGGACAGTTGGAAGGGTGTGGAGGACAGTTGGGAGGGTGTGGAGGACAGTTGGGAGGGTGGGGAGGACAGTTGGGAGGGTGGGAGGACAGTGGGAGGGTGGGGAGGACAGTTGGGAGGGTGGGGAGGACAGTTGGGAGGGTGGGGAGGACAGTTGGGAGGGTGGGGAGGACAGTTGGGAGGGTGTGGAGGACAGTTGGGAGGGTGTGGGAGGACAGTTGGGAGGGTGGGGAGGACAGTTGGGAGGGTGTGGAGGACAGTTGGGAGGGTGTGGAGGACAGTTGGGAGGGTGTGGAGGACAGTTGGGAGGGTGGGGAGGACAGTTGGGAGGGTGTGGAGGACAGTTGGGAGGGTGGGGAGGACAGTTGGGAGGGTGGGGAGGACAGTTGGGAGGGTGGGGAGGAGGGTGGGAGGAGGACAGTTGGGAGGGTGGGGAGGACAGTTGGGAGGGTGTGGAGGACAGTTGGGAGGGTGGGGAGGACAGTTGGGAGGGTGTGGAGGACAGTTGGGAGGGTGTGGAGGACAGTTGGGAGGGTGGGGAGGACAGTTGGGAGGGTGTGGAGGACAGTTGGGAGGGTGGGGAGGACAGTTGGGAGGGTGTGGAGGACAGTTGGGAGGGTGTGGAGGACAGTAGGAAGGGTGGGGAGGACAGTTGGGAGGGTGTGGAGGACAGTTGGGAGGGTGTGGAGGACAGTTGGGAGGGTGGGGAGGACAGTTGGGAGGGTGGGGAGGACAGTTGGGAGGGTGGGGAGGACAGATGGGAGGGTGGGGAGGACAGTTGGGAGGGTGGGGAGGACAGTTGGGAGGGTGTGGAGGACAGTTGGGAGGGTGTGGAGGACAGTTGGGAGGGTGGGGAGGACAGTTGGGAGGGGGGGGAGGACAGTTGGGAGGGTGTGGAGGACAGTTGGGAGGGTGGGGAGGACAGTTGGGAGGGTGGGGAGGACAGTTGGGAGGGTGGGGAGGACAGTTGGGAGGGTGTGGAGGACAGTTGGGAGGGTGGGGAGGACAGTTGGGAGGGTGGGGAGGACAGTTGGGAGGGTGTGGAGGACAGTTGGGAGGGTGGGGAGGACAGTTGGGAGGGTGGGGAGGACAGTTGGGAGGGTGGGGAGGACAGTTGGGAGGGTGGGGAGGACAGTTGGGAGGGTGTGGGAGGACAGTTGGGAGGGTGGGGAGGACAGTCGGGAGGGTGGGGAGGACAGTTGGGAGGGTGGGGAGGACAGTTGGGAGGGTGTGGGAGGACAGTGGGAGGGTGGGACAGTTGGGAGGGTGTGGACAGTTGGAGGGTGTGGAGGACAGTTGGGAGGGTGTGGAGGACAGTGGGGCAGGGTGGGGAGGACAGTTGGGAGGGTGGGGAGGACAGTTGGAGGACAGTGTGGGAGGGTGTGGAGGACAGTTGACAGTTGGGAGGGTGGGGAGGACAGTCGGGAGGGTGGGGAGGACAGTCGGGAGGGTGTGGAGGACAGTCGGGAGGGTGGGGAGGACAGTTGGGAGGGTGGGGAGGACAGTTGGGAGGGTGTGGAGGACAGTCGGGAGGGTGGGGAGGACAGTTGGGAGGGTGGGGAGGACAGTTGGGAGGGTGGGGAGGACAGTTGGGAGGGTGGGGAGGACAGTCGGGAGGGTGGGGAGGAGAGAAGGGAGGGTGGGAGGACAGTCGGGAGGGTGGGGAGGACAGTAGTGTGGGTGGGAGAATTCTCCCATGTATTCCTGTGCAATATTTAGTTTTCCTATAATATGTGCGACAATTACTCCTAGAACCACTTTCCTCTTATTGGTTCAACAAGGATATATTTGTTGCTAATCCAAACATCATTCCCGACCATTAACAACTAATCCTAACTGTTCCGCCTACAGTGTTGCTATCGCTGTACCTGCCGGTGGCGATAGCGGGGTACGCGGTAAAAGGAGTTGATGTGGGGGACAACATTCTACTCACCGTCGATATCAGTAAAGGCATCATCAAGGCAGCGTTGGTGATGGAAGTGCTCAACCTCCTGGGCACCTACATCATCACCTTCAACCCCATTAGTCAAATGTTCGAGGAGTTGCTTGGGGTCGAGAACAGTAAGTTTACACGTGTTAGACAGTAATTAAATTAATAGGAAAGATTTTCCTGGGTAAATCCTGGTTTTCATATGGGGGTCGTAGATTTCGGTAGTAAATAACAAACAAAATGAGTTTTGTATATATTGTATTTATGTCACAACAGGCTTTCTGTTGTTTTCTGTATTCATATATTCTTAAGAGAATTTGTGCATATGTGTACTCACCTAGATGTGCTTGTTGGGGATTAGCTCTCGCTCTTTGGTCCCGCCTCTCAACAGCCAATCTTCTTGTGTACTGAGCTTATCGAGCTCTATCATATCTACATTTGAAACTGTGTATGGAATCAACCTCCACCACTTCACTTCCTAGTGTATTCCATTTACTTACTATTTTGACTCTGAAAAAGATCCTTCAAATGTCTCTGTGGCTCATTGGAGTACTCAGCTTCCACCTGTGTCCCCTTGTTCGTGTTCCGCCTGTGCTAAATAATCCATCCTTGTCAATTCCCCTGAGAATTTTGTATGTGGTGATCATGTCTCCCATCTAACTCTTCAAGTTCAAGTTCAAGTATGTTTATTGAGATAAGCAAGAAATACATCTCAAAGGGATAAAGTAGCTTAGGCTATTTCTACCCCCCCTAGCTCTTCTAACTCTTCTGTTTTCCAGCGACGTGAGGTACTTTTCACACAGCCTTTCCTCATAACTCATGCCACTTAGTTCTGGGACTAGTCTAGTGGCATACCTCTGAACTTTTTCCAGCTTCGTCTTGTGCTTGACAAGGTACGGGCTCCATGCTGGGGCCGCATACTCCAGGATTGGTCTTACATATGTGGTGTACATGGTTCCGAAGGATTCCTTACACAGGTTCCTGATGTTAGCCAGCCGCGCATACGCCACTGATGTTATTCTTTTGATGCGCGTAATTATTATATACACGTGCCACATTACATCACGTGTTAACACATCACGTGTTAATTTCTTTGTGATTTACACACAAACATGTAGATATTATATGTAATATGCATAATTTATAATATATATGTGTAATATATATAATATTATAAATATATATTATATATAATATATAAATATATTTAATACATATTATATAATATATATTTTACGTATTATATGTTATATATATAATCACCTTAGTTGACAAACTTATATATAATCACTTCAGTTGACATTTGTATTCATATTCAAAATATCGTGTATTAGATCAAGTATTTCTGTATTTCTCAGATGCCTCTCTGATGTGTGCGTCGGTCTCTGTGTGTGTGTTTACTCTTTGCGTTTACTATTTGTATCCTCAGAATCGAGCTGTTAGCTCTTGGACCCTCTTCTTTCTAACCACTCTATTTTTCCTCTACTAGGTCTACTACATACATTTCTCTCTAACACATATACACACACATCAAGGAAGCAGCTCGTAGCAGCTGTCTAACTTCCAGGTACCTATTTACTGCAAGGTGAACAGTCGCATCAGGGTGAAAGAAATTCTGCCTTATTATTTCCGCCTCCGCCCGGAATCAAACCCGGTCCATTAGGACTACGACCCCCGTGTGCTGTCCACTCAGTCACGAGGCCCCTCTGTGTGTAATTACCTAAGTGTAATTGCCTAAGTGTAGTTACAGGATGAGAGCTACGCTCGTGGTGTCCCGTCTTCCCAGCACTCTTTGTCATACAACGCTTTGAAACTACTGACGATCTTGGACTCCACCACCTTCTCACCTAACTTGTTCCAACCGTCTACCACTCTGTTTGCGAAAGTGAATTTTCTTACATATCTTCGGCATCTGTGTTTAGCTAGTTTAAATCTATGACCTCTTGTGTGTGTGTGTGTGTGTGTGTGTGTGTGTGTGTGTGTGTGTGTACTCACCTAATTGTACTCACCTAATTGTGCTTGCGGGGGTTGAGCTCTGGCTCTTTGGTCCCGCCTCTCAACCGTCAATCAACTGGTGTACAGATTCCTGAGCCTATTGGGCTCTATCATATCTACATTTGAAACTGTGAATGGAGTCAGCCTCCACCACATCACTTCCTAATGCATTCCATTTGCTAACTACTCTGACACTGAAAAAGTTCTTTCTAACGTCTCTGTGGCTCATTTGGGTACTCAGCTTCCACCTGTGTCCCCTTGTTCGCGTCCCACCAGTGTTGAAAAGTTCGTCCTTGTTTACCCGGTCGATTCCCCTGAGGATTTTGTAGGTTGTGATCATGTCTCCCCTTACTCTTCTGTCTTCCAGTGTCGTGAGGTGCATTTCCCGCAGCCTTTCCTCATAACTCATGCCTCTTAGTTCTGGGACTAGTCTAGTAGCATACCTTTGGACTTTTTCCAGCTTCGTCTTGTGCTTGACAAGGTACGGGCTCCATGCTGGGGCCGCACCGTGTGTGTGTGTGTGTGTGTGTGTGGGTGTGTGTGTGTGTGTGTGTGTGTTTGCGTGTACTCACCTATTTGTACTCACCTATTTGTGCTTGCGGGGGTTGAGCTTTGGCTCTTTGGTCCCGCCTCTCAACTGTCAATCAACTAATGTACAGATTCCTGAGTCTACTGGGTTCTATTATATCTACATTTGAAACTGTGTATGGAGTCAGCCTCCACCACATCACTGCCTAATGCATTCCATCTGGTAACTATATGCACTCTGACACGGAAAAAGTTCTTTCTAATGTCCCTGTGGCTCATTTGGGTACAAGTTTCCACCTGTGTCTCCCTTGTCCGTGTTCCACCCGCGCTAAATAGTTTGTCTTCCCTGTCTATCGTCTTTGTCTACCCTGTCAATTCCCTTGAGAATTTGTAGGTGGTCATCATGTCTTCCCTTACTCTTCTGTCTTCCAGAGACATGAGATTTAGCTCCCGAAGCCTTTCCTCGTAGCTCATACCTTACTGTTCTGGGACTAGTTTTGTGGCATACCTCTTAATTTTCTCTAACTTTGTTTTTTGTGTTTAATTAGGTATGGACTCAAGGCTGGAGCTACATACTCTAGGTGTAACGTATCGCAAAACGAATGAAAAGAAAAGAAAACTGAAGAATCTCATGAGGGGTGAGGGAGGAAGAGAGGTGGAAGGGAGGTGTGAGGGAGGAAGAGAGGTGAAAGGGAGGTGTGAGGGGAGGAAGAGAGGTGGAAGGGAGGTGTGAGGGAGGAAGAGAGGTGGAAGGGAGGTGTGAGGAAGGAGCGGTGAAGGAGAGGTCAGAAGAAACGGAAAGTTTAGAATGAGAGGGAGATAAAGAGATCAATGAGGAAAGTAGAAGAGTAGAAAGTAAAAAGTGCTAGAATAGTAGAAGGTATTGTAGAAAGATGGAAGTAAAAGAGTGGAAATTAGAAGGAGAAAAGAAAGTTGCAGCCATTAACCATTTAAGTTAATTATATGTAAGACAAGGAATGGAACTTGTCTGTGCTTTAATATTATCTGAGGTAATCGTGATCGTGTATCAACTGTAAGCATTGACTCGTATATCCAAGACTATTTAGGTTTAAATCTTAAGCCAATAAACTTCAGACTGCTCTCCACTTTAACTTGCAAAATCCAGGATCTAGGGATCACAATTAAAGACAATTTACAAAAATAAGTTAATTATATATTAATATTACAGGTATCACAATTCAACAGTTCACGTGATGCTTAATATGTCAAGATTAATACACACATTTGAGTCACCACACAAGAAATCAAAATCACTATGGCTGACTGCCCCTGAAAATCACACAACACCCAAGTTGGAAACACAATATATGCCACATTACAAGTTCACTCACCAAAGACTGAAACTACAGTGTTTACGGTAGACAGAGTTCCCACTCGCCCTGAGACAGGCATTGGTCTGGCTGCGAGCCTCTCGACCAGCGATCTCTACGGCTGTCCTGCTCAATCCTGCCTAAATGTACAGTTCCATGGGTATTAAAGGGGGGAACCAGTAGCTAAGCTCTGCCTACCAAGGAAGATAGCCTCAGGCTCTCTACGTAAAACCTAGACAGCGACTTCTTTGATGGACAGACACCACCAACTGTTTGCAATTATCGGTTTAGCAGAAAGCGAGGTCACTTCACACAACCTGACCCCTACCCAACCTATGGCCATTAACCCGTAAAGGTGTGACTTCTTAATTGTTATCGGACGACAGTAAGGCGCCTTCAAATACATTGTGTAACTGATTCTCATTGTATGTGAAATAAAACACATATATGGTGTTAAATAGGAGTGGTCTGATATAGGTGGTATACAAGGAACTGATTGATTTCTTACACAAGTTTCTAAAGGCAGTTCTTATGTTGGCCAATCTAGCATGTGAAAAAGGATGATATTCTTTTGATGTGGGCTCCTGGGGACAGGTTCGGTGTGATACCTTGTGTTCCTAAACCAAAACCTTGTTTTCAGCCTCCTACTTCCTTTAGCTAATATCCTTACTTTACACCTTTCTGAGTTGAACTTTAGTAGCCATTTTCTCGACCATTCCTCCAGTTGGTCCTGGTCGTCCTGTAGTCTCTGTTCATCTTCATCTGTCTTCATTCTTCTCATAATTTTTGCATCATCAGCAAACATTGAGAGGAATAGGTCTGTACCCTCTGGAAGAGCGGGAACATACATCAGAAACAGGATGGGGCCAATTACAGAGCCCCTGTGTGACTCCGCTGGTGACATCTCGCTACTCTGATGTCTCCCCCTCACAGTTGCTCGCTGTTTCATGTTGCTTAGATTCTCCCTTATCTATTATAGCACCTTACCTTTTATTCCTGCCTGTTTCTCTAACTTTTTAACAGCCTCTTATGGTGTACTGTGTCTAAGGCTTTATGACAGTCTAATTAAAAACACATCATTTTGCACATCCTTCTCTTTCTTACGTAATTTATGTTGTTTGATTATACAATTTTATTAAACCTGTGAGGCACGATTACCATCTCTGAACCCATTCTGGTGGTGTGTTACAAAGTTATTTCCCTCCAGATGCTCTACGAGCCTTTTTCTCACGATCTTCTCCATCACCTTGCATGGTATACAAGTTAGGGAAACTGGC